TCTGTCTGACATACTTTACAGCTTGGTGTAAAACCGAGCCTAAACAAGCTTCCCCTCTTCAGATTGCTTTAGGTAACGTTTGTTAAGAATTAGGGCTCTTCAAATAAAAATTGGTTTCCAAAGAAAAAGAAAGGACAAAAGCTTCTACCTGAAGAGTTCAAAGATTTAAAACTAAAAAACTCAGAAGCTGCTAAAAAGTTGGATTGCTCTAAATCGTTGGTTCTCAACTGGTCTCGCCTCAGGACCGACTATCAACTATGAGGAAGTGTAAACCAAATGATCTGATATTTGTCAACCAATGAATGTATTTAAATGTTGTGCAGTTTGGACCTCAGATGGTACAAAACATGTTTAAAGCACACTTTATGTTTCCAAACACAAATTCACAACCCACTGAAAACGGCTCTGCGACCCACTTTGTGGTCCCGACCCACCAGTTGAGAACCACTGCTCTAAAGTAAAAGACGCTGAGTGGTGACATTCATCACAAAGGCTCTCTTATCATTAACACACAAGCATGACCTGTTTGTTCATATAAAACAGTGAGTACAAACTGATAGTGATGAGTTCAGGTTCTGTGTTGTGTGTCTCCATGGCTCTGCGTTCATTAGTACCTGTGACAGTCAGAGTTGTTCCAGGTAAACTGCTCCTCCATTCAAAGCTTCTTGTTGTAAATTTGAAACGATGCTGGGCTGAATCGCTCTCTCTCAGGTCAGAGATTCTCAGAGTGGAGCGTCCTCTCTCTCTTTCAGAGACCTGAACACGATTTGACTGATACCAATGCTGACTATGTTCAGGACTGAACCAGAACTTTGAAGTGACCGCTTCATGACCGTTGTAAGTACAATAAATGTCCACTGATGAGCCTTTGGGTGCACAGATGGTTCTGACATCGTACTTCACTCTGTTACAGGTTTCACCACGAACACCTGGAAAATTAAACAAATCATTTAAAACAGAGTAAAAACTCACAAGAGAAAAAAAACAAGTAGTTACACGTCTCCACCACCAGATGTTGTTTTGTTCGAAGCAGATTGTGAAGTTAACTCACACACTGGAGGAGAGGGGAAATCCTGGTGTTCCTGTAAAGCACAGGAATAGCTGTCTGCATTATTAAAGTAGGCTGAGTAAGTCGAGGATGTTTTTCTGGGGATTTTCTCTCCATTCTTGAACCAAATGTAGGAGGAATGAGGAGGGAGAGTACAACTGCTGACACACGTCAGATCTGCCCAAGAAGAGAATATCTAGGCCCACCTTCACATGAAGATCTGGATCTGTGGAGAGAGAACAGAGAGGAAATTTCACATTGTCTATATTCATATGCACAAATATAAAAGAAGACATTGATATTGTTGTTTTATTGTTTTTAAAATAATCAACAAATGAATGAAAACATTACCTGTGAGGGACAAAGTGACTCCGGATCACCAGTATAACTTCCACTTGATGGTTTGTTATGAACCTGAACTTGTAAACAGCTGAGTCACTATTTCCCACATTTGTGATTGTCAGAGTGGAGTCCTTCCAGGTAGAGCTGTAGGTCACACGACCTGTGTACTGTGAGTCTGTTTGCAGATCTACAGGTTCTCCATCCTGGACTTTAGTAAACCAGAAGGACTTCTGAACTGTAGTAGTAGATGGGTAGCTGTAGGTGCACCTACAGTTGATCCTCTTAAGGCACAGACTTCAGTAGAGGAGTAAGTCACTCTCCAGCCAGCCTGACCCTGAATCACTGTAAAATAGAGCACATCAAGAACCACAGTTACAGTAAGAGCAGCATCATGAGTCAAACCTTCATTCATAGTGGAGGTGCTTCAACTAGTACGACTACACCTGATGTCAGAGTGAGACAAAGCTAGCAGCTATCCTAATAAAGTAGAAAAGGTCAAGTCTCTTTGTGCAGAAGTTACTATTTACAGTCTGCCTAACATGATTCTTCATGCTGCTGTGGTGGTCGTGAAAGGTGAACAAACCTACCCATAATTCTCTGAGATACTGGCTAATTTAGCTGGTTTAATTACAAATAAGACTGCTTCCTGTTTTTCTATAAGCTGCACAAAAAACAAGTGAACCCAGACCCCCCTTTTCAAGTGATCCAGATATGATTGTTTGGTCTGCACCAGGGTTTGATTGACAGCTTTCACACCAGCACAAACTTGCTACAGACTCAAGATATTTTTAACTGAACCAAACAGGCTAGATGTGAAAACGCCCAAAGAGGCTCTTCACACATTTCATTAACATCCGTCTTTGTTGATCTGATGACAAGTGGATAGCCTTAATGCTCGGTGTGAACGCGCCCCAATGCCTCCTGAGGATGGGCTGAGTTCTGACAGCTCGGACCACATACAGACGTGGTGTGGCATGCATTTGTTCACATTGGATTGATAGTGTAAACACTCATGCGTCCACTGCAGCATTTAGGACCGCCCACTCAACTTAAAACCTGGGAGATCAACAGATTCTGTCCATGCAAAGTTTGAACGCCTGGACTAAGGTATTGTCCACTTGTTATAAGATCACCCAGGGATGACAATGCAAGGTGTGAACACAATCTTAGACTGTTCAAACATCATTTGTCAATACTACTCAACCACCAACCAGACAGCAGAACACTTCATATACCCAAATGGTCATGCATGTACAGACTCTGCATTAATATACAGATATCTGTTATTAATAGAGGTTACTGCAAAAGGGAAAAGAGGCGGAGCAACAGTTGAAGACGTACAGCTGATCTCTATTAAAGATGATAAAGACATGATATAGAGGGTGCAGCCAGGGGTCTCAGTGTCGAGAACATTTGTGTTTAAAACTGTTTTGTGTGACCAGGAGGTAAAATAAATAAATATTAGAAGAGTGGAGTACATGAGAACTAAACTCTGCTCTGCTGAGTTGTTTCCTGTCCGTGATGCGGCGACAGCAGAGTGTGAATGGAATCTGCTGAGAAATGAGGTGTGAGCAAAAACTGTGATGGGTAGATAATAAAGAGAGACAGCATTTTCAAACTTTTGGGATTAGATGTTTAGCAATTCAGTTATTAACAAGATACTACTACTAATAATAATATATATAAGCATTGATATTAATATATATTAAGGCTTATTTTAGGGTATTTTACGCCCCTATCCAGAGACAGGACAGTGGACAGAGTCAGAATCTGGAGGGAGAGAGAGCAGGAAACGACATGCAGGAGAGGAACCACAGGCCACAGACTCAAACCCACCCGCCCGCCCGCCCGGAGAACCACAGCCTCCACCAGGGCCGGCCCATGGCATAGGCAGTATAGGCAAATGCTAGGGGCGCCATCATCCATAGGGGGCGCCGCTGGCGCCCATATGAGTGCGGCAGAAAACTTGAAGATAAGAAAAAGAAATAGAAGGAAAAATGTGTTTACATATCATTAAATATTATTTATCTAATATAATTTCCATGCTATCCTTTAATAATGATAGAAAAGAAGCCATGAAAACACAACTATCACATTTTTAAAAAGGCTCTATTTTCTTGTCTCCTGCTTGACGCGGCTCATCACAACAAAGCTGCTCGTTACCTGCTCGTTGTGGAGGAGGAGGGCAGGTGACTTATTAGAATTGAGTGACACTGACCATACTTAATATCAATGAATTAACAATTAACAATTAATATCACGTTTATAAATGACCGTAATGTAAACAACAACAAAGCCCTCAGGAGCCCAGGGACGAAAAAGAAGAAGAGGAGAAAAAATGTGAAAAAGACACAGAGGTAACGTGCTGCACGGATCAATTATCTGTTGTATTTAAGCTAGCTTGTTATGGATGGATGATAGTAACGTCTGTGTTTCCTAGCTCCAGTTAACATCAGTTATTTCCACTTTATTAGGTTAAGATTATTCATGTTAAGAAAATAACCACTTTAAGAAATACACTTCTTCTTTTGTTCTAATGTTGTTTGGGACACAAAACCTACTTTTATATTTATTGACATCTTTGTGTACTTCGTTAACTTTCACCCTAGTCGATTAAAATGTTTATTTTCCACCTCTTGTTGTCATTAATAGTTTTAAGCTCTTGCCTTTAGAGTATTGATGTCTAAGAGCATAAATGCATTTTGTGCATGAAGCCTCTCTGAATAGATCTGTGTGCATGCTGTAGGTCTGGTTAGGAAAATATTTAGGCTCACATGAAAAACTATGCTGAGGTTTCTGTTCTGCTCTGAAGAGGAAATAATATTTTGTGTTCACACTATATTATAAAATGCCCACCGTTTCACAAATGCTCATCTTCTCTCTCCAGATGCAATCAAAATATTTAAATCCATCCCTGGGCCGTCTGTGTCCACTTCTGCTCCCTGCACTGTTTGATATTGTTTGTTCTATTACACTAGTTATTTGTATTTAATTATAAAAATTATTAGAGTTATTACCATTTTATTCATGTTTATTTAAAGTATTTTTTATTTTTAAATAAATAATTAATGTTAAATATAAAACTGTATGCCAGTTTTCTTTAAGTGGATGAATATAATATATTAGTGGTCAAACTGTCTACAATTTAAGGGGCAACCGCTGAAATCTTTCCTAGGGCACCAAAATGGTTAGGGCCTGCTCTGGCCTCCACACATGCACACCAACAACACCTTTCATTCTAATATCTACTGAAAAACATAAATCATCAACCAGAATGAATAACTATGGGGCACCACCCTCCACCAGGGACCAAAAACATGCTAACGGTCAGTTTGGAGGAATGCAGATCAATTATTTTAAAGAAAACATCTCAACACAACTCTTCCAGCTCAAATGGTGCATGATCCTTAAAGTTTATAATTTTAGGTTAAAGGAGTCTGCTGGACTTCCTATAAACAGTAACAGTCGTGACAGAAACTTCAATATTTTGTATTGAATTTAAAATGACATCTCCTCTGACTTTCTAAAGTCTGCTCTTTGCCTTGAAGTATAAATGTGGAAGTAAGTTACCTGGCACAGAGAGAAGGAAGACGACAAATCCACTCGCTGCTGCTGTTAAACTCATAGCTGCTCCTCTCATCACATCCATGAGACACACTGGTGTGAGGTCGTCACATTAAACTTTCTTCTTCTTAAAATGAGGATGTGGTCTTTTAAGACACTTAAAAAAAATGTTATAGTTAACTTGTGTTAAACAGAAAAAAGACCACACTCGCCCTTCCTCTTTTTATGCATAAGTCAGAATAAGAGCAAGCCCTGACAGCTAAAAATATTTTCAGGACCTGGTATTTCAATGATATGTACGTATAATGATTTTAAAATGTGTGCTGTTTACAAATGTTTCATCAAGTAGACTGTGCTGTGTTTTATAAGTAAAAATAGAACAGGTGTGTGATGTCTGATTTGGGGACAATACCTCTGTTGCTGCATTCAGGTGCTGCTCGGTGATCCAAGTTTATGAGTTGGGAAGTCGTTCTTCCGACTTCAGTGTGTTCGTGTGATTTCAGTTCAGAAAGTCTGAATGTTGTGACAACAGCACAAAACAGCGTTGATGCTACAAAGAAGAAGATCAGAGAAATGCTAGTTAGTTTAGTTTAGTTTAGAAACAGGGACAGCGTAAAAAAAACAACAACATTAGTCTCAGAAGAGAAGAGATGCTTTGTATCAGATTTAGCTAGCTTATTTCCATCTGTTGTCCCTGGGCATTTACTGTTATGAGTTATATTTGAGCTGGTATATATGATATATTTTGCCCCCCATGTCATAGAGATTCTGACGTCAAGTCGGGAAGTCGGGCACCTAATTCTTTTCTGAGTTTCCGAGTTGTTGTTGCGACTTGAGCAGGCGTTCATGTGCATTTTACAACTCGAAAACTTGTTTTTCCGATGTGTCCGACACCACATGAATGCACCATGTGACCCTACATGACAGGTATTTTGACGTGCACAAAGTCGTCTTATCTTGAGGGTAGATTCCTGGTTATCAATGTGATTGTTTTGAAACATTGGACAGTTATGGGCCTGTGTAATCCTTGTCAGTAATAGAGTGATATATCAGTTTTAAAGTTACATTAATCAACTTACTCCTTATTGTGAAACAGAGCTTTTTAACCCACAACCAGACATTCAGCCTGCATGGAACAACCTGTTGGGACGAACTGGGAAGGAAACAAGTTGAAAAGATTGGACCTGATGTGAAGGCTACAGCTGAGGGAAGAACCGGACTTAAGGGTCTTCAATGTTCATCAGTTAAAAGAGATCACAAAAGGAAACTAAAATAATGAGTTTTTGTGCCTTTAATTGGAGAGATAGGACAGTGGAAAGAGTTGGAAATCAGGAAGAGAGAGAGTGGGATATGACATGCGGGAATTGATTGGTGGGATTTGAACCTGGGCCGCCCGTTTGGAGGACCATAGCCTCCATACATGGGGCATGCGCACCAACCACTGCGCCACCAGCACATTAGTTTGTTTTAGTGAGACATACATCATCATACTAAGAAATTAAGGAGTTTTGTAAAGTGGGAAACATATGTTTACAATGCCAAACCTAAAATCAGAATAAAACACATAATGAAGTACAATAAGGCTTTGAGTCTTGTACTTATCTCTCCTGAATGAAATCCAGCAGTCTTATTTTCAGCTCTCTTGTTGTCTGTAGGTTAGTTTTATTTCTTGTTAGGTAGATTAGAGGGAGGTGCAGAGAGCGACGACCCGTTTTTATTAAAGTCTTCTTCCAACTTGGCCTCTTGTTTTAGATACTTTCTGATGAGAAGGAGTCTACATGAGTGGAAACACAGTTTAAAGGAAACGCTTACTTAAAGATGAGATAAGAACTTAAAAATCTGCCCACTCAGCATGAAGATATCTCTCACAGGAAGAAGAAGGGTTTACCTCAGATGTTTGATGATAAAAGTGAAGGGTCTTTGTACTTCACAGTGAGACGAGTTTCCCTCCGATTAAAGTTCAAAAGTGCAGACGTATGTATCAGATGAAGGTCATGATTAACATCTTCCTATCAGGGTTTTAAGAAAGACATAACATAAATAAATAGTCACATTTCTCAGAAGATTTCACTCACAAGTCTCTGATCCATCTTTCATTATTTTATTTTATTGTATTTAACCAGGAGGAGCATCCTGGCCAATCAGGCAGCAGCAGAGTCAACAAAGTTTCAGACAAACAAAGAGCAGCCGTATACAAAAATAACACAAAAAGCTACAAGAATACATTCAAAGACTTTTATTCATCAGTCTAAGAGCGTCTCTGTCGATGGTATTCAGAGGAGCTGTTTGTCAACAGGTAAGGCAGGCAGCTGATTGGGCCCCCAGGCCAGTAGGGGGCCTCCAAGGGCTGACAAACTTTAAACCACAGCAGTGGCTCAAAATGTACAAATTTTGCAACGACAGTAGGATACCTCCCTAAAGGGGGCCCCATCTGACAGCACTCCCTCTCCTTTGCAAACCAACATTTGTCAGAACAGGAAAAATGTGAGTTAAAAAAAAGACAGGAAGCGTCGGGACATGATGATTGAAACGGGTTGGAGGGGCCCCCAATTAACTTTTTCCTAGGGCCCCAACAGACTCTAGATTTGCCACTGATGGTATTCTATAGAAAACAGAGGTCAATGTTTTTCCACGTTCCTGCTCTGACCTTCAACAGAACAAAAAGACGTTGTTTCTCTGAAACCAGAGGTCTGGTCTGCTTCTCTGTAGCCCTGTTCAGACTGCCGTTTCAAGCTGCGATATTTACGTCCCTGTGACGTTTTGTCTTCAACCTGAATGAGGCAGAGACATAATGGGGGGACCAAGTGAACCCCCTCTGAGCATGTGCTACATCATCATACAGGCGTACAGTCGATCATATTGTGTAATGTAAACAAGCAGACGCAAGACCCCGAGCAGATGTGACCACCCGAGCAGATCTGGTACCTAGCATTAGCATGCTAATGGCGCACATCCCTACATACCACCCAGTCTAAGTCATGAAATACTTCCCATGTGTGGTAGATTTGACAGATTGGAGGTAAAAAAAACGAGGCTGCTTTATGTTACATTTATCAGGCCGTTAAAATCATTACAAAGGTATAATCTTTAAGTAGCAGTTCATAAGACATGTGTTGTAAAATCAGAAGCGACCTGCATACATTCAAATATATGAAATCTAAAACAGAGTGTGAACACAGTGCCTGTCGAGGTCATCGCTTTGTTGACGGTGCTGTACAGAGCAGCTGGATCCTCTTCAGGTTCTTTACTTCTGGTTCTGAAGGGGAAAATTGATCAACATGAAGTTTAACTAAAAGAATTGAGTTACCAACACATCCATTACAGGATTAAAGTACAAACACATCAGAGGAAGATAAGAGCGAAAACAGCTTTTATCTTATAGTGAGAGTTTAATGTTTTCTCAGCTGCTCACCTCATGGCGGTGCTGTTCCTGGTAAATTTGACGGCAGCGTACTCAGTGACGTCCTGCTGCTCCGTTCTCCTGGGAGGCCGAGCTGGTCTGGTATTGCTGTACAGAGGCTCCTGGGTTTTAGAGAAGTGTATGCTGGCATACTGAAGGTCTTCCTGCTCCTCTGGTTGTCCCTGATTAGGTGAACAAAATCACTTTGAGCTGCATATTTACCATGTGGAGGTTTTTCATTTAAAAAGTGAATTCTAGCAGAGGACCGCAACCAAGATAGGAAAGGCCACAGCAACAGCACTTATGGTGATGATGTTATTAAAATACTTTGAGTGTTGGCACACAGTGTAGAAGGGGGGATTTAACCATTTTTATTTTATGAACGCTAACAGTTAAACATAATTAGGGGCGTGGCTGAGTTGACTCCCAGGTGGGCGTGTTGTAGCCGTTTGTCAGGAGGCATAAGACCCGCCTCAGCTCCAGATTTTTGCTTGTTACTAGGTTACTCAAAGACAGCATTTCCAATATGGCAACCACCATCAGTGAGCTTCAACATTTCACTTCAGAAACCAATGGGTGACATCACTGAGACGACGTCCATGTTTTAGTACAGGAAGAAAATTCAAAGACAGCCTCAGGAATTTGTTTCTATCGGACAAATATGAAATGTTCTTTCTCGTCAGCAAGTATAAATAATAAATTTACTCAAAGACAGCAAGATAAAAGACATGTCACCAATCAGTAACTTTGGACATGTACAACATTTTAAATCTAAATAACTACATAATATTTACTTTGCCCTTTTAAATAATTCATGTATGGTATGCATTGTATTTATTTTTAACAAATTCCCCTTCCAGGCAGTGGGTGGGCTGTGTTAGCGCTCTCTAATGACCAGCAGCTACTGTTCATGATGTCTGCAGAAACTAACGCAATGATTGTGTACTTGTAGGATGATCAGCTCTGAGCAGTCGGCTGAGTGAAATATTTGCTTGGTCAGATTATTGGACGGACCATATCGAGCACATTTACTCTTCTGGATGAACGACCTCTGAGTAACACAGCAGTCTGAATGAATCAGCGTTTATTTAGTACTAAGATATTAATCAGAACTATTCTCACCTGCTCCGTGTGTTCTTGTCTCTCTTCAGCCTCAGACGGTTCATTGGAAGCCCTCTTTTGTCTTGTGAGAAGAATTTAAAAGTATGATGAATTATGTTTTTTAGATATGACTGACTTTTAATGATTCAGTGAAACGAAGCAGCTCACCTGATCCACACGAGGACAGAGAGGAACACGATAACCAGGAGAACAACCGTGATTGTTCCAGCAACAGCCACTGATTTCCCTCCCCCTGGGAAATGGTGACCAAAACAAAGCGTTCAGATATATTTATCATCAGTCTGTCCTAAGCAGAAACCTCCACTGTTGAAAAATGAAGCAGATGTTGAAGGGTAAAATCCTGAAGTTCTTCGAGTGTCCACTAGAGGCTGGCTGCAGAAGCACAGGAAGTCACATACACACCCATTCAAAGAAGACATTTTTACAGCAGAGATGAACATGTTTACAGCCTGGTTCAAAAAAACAAATATGTCTTTTTAGCTCATGTCTCAATCAGCACACACTGTACTGGGGGTGAAGGCATAGCTGATCTGATTGACAAGCAGGTGCCATATAAGGGTTTCTCAAGAGGTTTAAAACCTCAGCTCCAGCTCTCAGCCTGTTATGTTGACTGAAAGTTAGGGTGAGACAGCATTTCCAGCATGGAGACCGCCATCGATAGGACTCCAGCGCCCCCACAGGAACTGATTTATTACAGTTTTAGTCGTACTAACACAATTTATCGACTATCTCTAACAGCATGTGAACATACTGAATGTGTCCTGAACCTATCCAAGTAGTTTTGATGGGTTGATCAAACCAAGTGCGTGATTAACAGGTTGAAACGGTCAGTTTAGGTAGGTTGAGTCTGAATGATGACAAATGTGACGTTAAGTCGGCAAGTTGGGTTTCTGAATTGTTGTTCCGACTTGAGCAGACGTTCATCTGTAT